GATGCGATCGTGTACCTTGCAACTGTTAAAATCATCATCACCACGAAAATCTGCAATTAGTAATGCTAGGTGTCTGCAAATGCATGTCATAAAATCGCAAGTTTCTTCGTAGGTAGTGACAATCTGGTATTCTTCGAAAAAAGAGGCTGTTTCTACAAATTTAGGCCTCGTTTACTACGTTTTGCTTGTAGAACGCCTGCGTTCTTCCAATGAGTGGTGGAGATCAGACTCCATTTAGCAAAGAATGGAAGAAAGAAATGTTTGGACATTAATGATATCTTTAATTGAAGCATGTTTTTATCTGAACCCTATTCAGCAAATCATATTTTTTAAGTTAGAAAATCACATGGGGTACATTAAATGCCCTCCGACTAGGTGACAATACTTCCAGTGAACTATCAAATCCCAATATGCTTTGCAGCAATTCAAAACCTTGGAATGGCATTCACCTCCCGTCCTCAACGCACGTCTAGATTTGACTCGAATCTCAACTTGGACACGTCGAGTTCATCCGTGATTCTCAACTTCCTCGCCCATCACTAGGCAATGATCAACTGTCGCAGGATAGCACACTTCACCATCAATACCAATCAATCATAATGATTTTTGATTAACCATACTAACGAACAATCCATCAGATATGTTGTTGTATGAAGTGTTTCACCAACACCACTCTCGCACTGTTAGAATGCCCTCATACATGGTATTCATGGGACCAGTCACTACTCTCCGAACGAAATTGATCAATCTCTCCGTGAGATAATTCTGCCCTCTCAAGATTCTACTTGTCCCTTGCACCAAATCTCATTATTATTAGCGCTACACGTTTCCCCATACACCATTGTGCACCTACACATACCAGCCTATGAAATCACTCACCTAGCCATCCAATGGAATGCTGCGATTCCATCGCGTCTTCTACTTCGCACATTTCCACGACGCATCGTGTCATGTCATGTCTCTGAACTGTACTTCTGCTGCGAATTTTAAATATCTGGGATACCGCGTAGGAAAGTTTGCAAGAAAACCTGGTTATAAATAAGATTTGTGTACGAAAATTGGTCGATGACATGATTAAACAGTCAATGGCAATTCCGTCATCTCCAATTGTCCAAATGTTTGTTCTGTAACCACTCTTTCCGCCATCCTAGTTTTCCGGCTCATCGTAAGAGCAGTAGGAAAGGATAAAATGAGTGGTGCCTAGTGCATACAGAAGGGTAGCGCGGTCTGGTTTGAGATGAATTGGGGGAATAGTTTTTATACAGCCACCTCCAGGCCGACTTCTTCAATCGGTCCGTAAGCCAAACTTGAAATGGAGGCAGACAACTCATAAACAGATTGGATCCCAGTTCCTGGTGCGCTATTCAATGCTTCTATGGTCCCACGAAGCCTGAAGTCACTCCATTGATTACATGAAGCCGCTATCATGGCTTGCATTTTGCTCTCGATGAATAGCTGAATAGTAGTGTGGCGACTGTCCATCACGCCGCTGCACAACCAAAACTGTCCCAGCTCCTTGTCAACTACCACTATAGCTACTTTAACAGTGTGATCTACCAGGAGTGCTTCAAAATACCCAAGTGACTCCTCCACGTCTCATTCCAAAACCAGGAGATACGACTTTGACGTTGTTGAAGCAGACCGTGAGGCCTTGTCATGAGCGGTCCCCGGGACTACAAATTGCACAGGTTGCCTCACTGTAAACAGAGTAAACCACACATGACCCTTCCCACGGGTGGTGCTGAAGTTTTCTTTTCTCTTACGCTGCAATGGCTGTAGCTTGCCAAACTTGCTTTCTTTTCTCAACTGGGGTGCCTTGAGTGCGCGTGTGTGGCGTGTGGCGTGTGGCGGCGACCAGCAGGCGAGCACAGTTAGCAGGCGCGAGCGAACACAAATCAATCGATTTTCACGCAGTGAACGCACTTCACGCAACTCTGCTCGTTCAGGGATCGATGCTCAGCGAAGCCACACAATCGCACTCGTTATCCTCCACACACACACACACACACCGCTACTGCTTTAATAAACTGATTGAGCTACGCGTCATCCGCATTTTCTACTCTTCTTTCGGTCGGGCCGTGTCACTGTAGATTGTAGGCCCTGGTATGGTTTCTAAAACCGCATCGGGGCCCACTACACGTGCGTCGTAATGGTCCATCTGGTGTTTGTGAGCTAAGGCTAGTTGTGTGACCTGGCTGACTCGAAATGGCGACCCATTTGCAGTCATACGCTTGCCGACGTGCTTAGGCTCTCGATATAGGAGCATCACGGCACTGGCTGGTAGCCGTAACTCATGACCGAATGTAATTACAGAGGGGGTTAGGATGGTGGAGATATGAATGGAATGCCTCGATTCGATGGGGCCTTGTTGCACTGGTTGAGTGCAAAACGTATTTGGACGTAGTCATAAAATCACCCGTTCCCTGTTGGCGACACGCTGCTGTGGATGACTAACAAGCTGCATAGTTCCAGAGGTACTGAACCTTTGAACTGACCGTAGTGATTGTTGCCCCAAGATTGGCAGAGAGATTGTGGAGATATTGTGTGATGGCCAGCATTAGTATTATTGCTGTTAATATCTTTTTTATTACTACTTCTACCATTACTATTTTTGTCAGAACTGCTCTTAGTATTTCTGATATCATTCTCATTACTATTATTGTTGGTACTTTCATTATTGTCACTAGTCTAATCCAGTCTGTGGGATGCCTGTTGATCTCAATTTGCGCTGCGTGCGAGACATGGCATGGATTTTCATGCACCAAACATGCTAAGCCAATCACCACGTGAAGCTAACGCGATGCGCCAATGGAATGCGCGCAGAGGCGAGTCTAAAGTGTGAACCAATGGCACTTGGACATTGCCTGGCGTGGTGTTAGTTAATCGCGTGGAACGGGGCCGTGGCCAATTCAGTCATCGCTGTTCGCTAGCTGTGACGGCGGCGGGACTCGGAGCGGACGAGGCGAGGAAGGCAAGTCAATCGAACAGGTTTTATAATTTTTTTGTCTCATTTATTATTTTTGTTAATACCATTTTTATAACTATTAGTCTTGCTACTTTTATTATTGTTACTAGTCTAATCCAGTCTGTGGGATTGCCGTTGATTTGAATTTGCGCTGCGTGCGAGACAGCGCATGGATTTGCATGCGCTGCCATCTCTACTTTCAAGTATTGCATTCGACAGTACAAGCGTTTAGACTGCTGCTGCTCAATGGTGGTGCAATGCAAGAGTTGCGTTGTAGGAAGAGGACAGGTTGCTTCGGTAGAAAATGATTTGACGAGCCGGGGCTGGAGTCACTAACAAGGCTAATTTCCACACAAACTGGCGGCAGCGCCAGCGGCAGCTGTAGTAGTAGCAGCAGCAGATACTAATGAATAAGTGAGGGACCTAGAGTGAACACGCCAAAGGCGAATCCAATTGCCCTAATCACCAGCTTCTTCCAACTTGTAGTCTTGTGAAGCACGCCTCAAACTAGCTCACGTTCCAATACCAATTCAAGCCCTACCATTCGCGACGCGTTTCAACAACAACAGCAAGAGCAGCGCCAGCAACAATCACAAGTGGTGGCCCTAAAGACGGCCGTTGGACCGTTCGCACACAGCCACATCCTGTGGTGGCTGTCTCTTGTGTGGGCTGGACCAAATCAGCCGTCAAAGCCGCAGAGAATATGATCGTGGTGTTTCAACGCATTGACCACACCCACAACAGTCACGGTACTGCGTTTCGCGCGTTCTGTGTACGCGACCGCATCGTGGATCACGTTCTCCAAAAAACACCATCAACACACCACGGATCTCTTCGTAGACGAGACTCGCGATGCTTTTCACGCCGCCACGACGAGCTAGGCGACGAATGGATGCCTTCGTGATCCCGTGAATGTCGTCATGGAGGACCTTTCGGTGGCGCTTAGGGCCTCCCTTTCCGACACCCCTCCCGCCTCTTCCGCGACCTGACATATTGCACCGCTGCTATGCTCTCGTTTCTGATTGTTGCTTAGTGCACCGCAATCTCTACCTTTTATACCGCCTTCACTCCAATCACTCCAATCGTTGCTTGGTGCACCGCAATCTCTACCTTTTATACCGCCTTCACTCCAATCAAAATCTGCCTTCACACCACTTAAACAACCCACTTCTCATCCGCTTTTTTTATTGATAGTATTGTTGCTACTAATGTCTTTTTTATTACTATTACCGCTATTAAAATTTTTGTCAGAACTGCTCTTAGTATTTCTGATATCATTCTCATTACTATTATTGTTGGTACTCTTATTATCGTTACTTGTCTAATGCAGTCTGTGGGATTCCTGCTGGTCTCAATTTGCGCTGCATGTGAGACATCACAGCAAAACAGTGATCTCACACACGGTCCATTTGAAAGCCATCGAGTGAGATTGTTGGTGTTGGTGGTGCATTTATTTTCTTTTTCGAGGTGTTTGATACGTGTGTAGTACTAGTGGTAGGGCTATTTGTGGTTCGTGATGTTGTTGTTAGTGGAGTTATAGCTGTGGTGTGTTTCGATGAGTGGCGGGTGTAGGTAGGTAGGTAGGTGCGGTGGCTGGGTAGGTGTGTGGGTGGTTCGTGGTGGGTTGTTGGAAGCGATATGAGGATGTGGGTGGGGGCTTGCGGGAAAGTAAATGAAAAGACTTGAAGGCCCCGGCCGCCACCGCCGCGTTCCCTATGTTGCAGGCAATCGAGAGTTGAGGTGCCCAATGATGCGATAGGATGTGGCGGTAGATGCATGGATTAGTGGATGGGTGGATGGAGCGGTGAGAAGTAGCGTGATGTTCGTGAATTGCGTCGTCGCGATTGCTTACAACGAATAGCTGGCTCGGAAGTAGCATAGAGCGAGTAGGAGGAGGATGGGGAGGGAAGGGAAGGAGGCCGTGAGAGTAAGTAGGCATTCGGTAGGCCGCAGAAGCGTGTGGTCATTTGACGTTCATGATGATGTCCACTCGCAGATGCTCACACGAGGTGACTGACAAATTCTGGATTTGGGGTTATGTGGCCACTGAAGCATCATAGAGCCCTCGAAGGTATAGTTAGTCCAATTTAGTGGCATCCAATAATTGGAGTTTTGATGTAAAGAGGCTGGTGTCAATTTCAATATGCCAATAGGTCGAACTGCGACCTTATTAAAGGAGCTTCAATAAATTGTCAAAGTCGTCTAGCAACCATTTTTTTCAGAACACTCACCATGTTAAGCACGATGCTGTCACTACAACACTCTCAACAACCTCCATGTCCAGGCAAATTGTCAATCACACGTCATGGATATTCACATTTGGGGGTGTGGTAAACTAAGCGGAAAGCAATAACAACTGTTATTTGGCTAACTCTCGTCCTCACTGTTTCATCCACCCAAAAACGCACCCTACACACTCACGCATCTTCTGCATGTTGCCCAATTATTGCAGGGCTCTAACGCATGTCCTGTCTCCAGCACATGGCACTCCATGTACGAGTCTACTTCCACGACGACCAGCTACATCTTAACGCCTTTTAGTCAAGCCATTACATTTGTACTACTGGCGAGATATCACTAGGCCATGCAGGTAGCCTCAAAAACTGCCATCACTTGTAAAAGTAGTCAATTCGATCACATAGCTGCCAAACAAAAGCCCAAATCTTGGACAGTATTACACCTTAAGATGCTTATCATTCGTTAGGGCTTACAATTATTTCCACTAAGCCAATGCCACCAATGAATAATAACTAACTACCCCAACACGGAATGCACCCAATAAGTGACTAATTTAGGGAAAACAAGACCTGATTCCATTATCACTTTCGCACAATCATACACACACACACACATTTTATACAGTCTTCACGGTGGATAAGTCCTCTGCTATGATTACTGACTCACGTAAGGTGAATTTCACCCTTACTTACATCATCATCTGCATCACCGAAATAACCACGATAATAAACCAATATGCACCAAGTAGCTTTAATTAATTTGCGGAGTCTACTTTCGTATGACCGACCAAGTGATTTTGCCCCATTTCTATGCCACAAGTTAACAATCCACATTACAAATACACACTTTATTCCCTTCTGTAAACAACGCTTGGATGGTACGACCAGGTGACACAGCAACGAGGTGCCCACAATCGGGAATTCACGCACTTCGCAAGATGTCCACTTGGCTTATATCCTGCAGTCTTCAACAGTCATTCCAAGCACCATCAGTGGGAATAATGCTAGAGAAGAGAAAACGAAATACAATACAATTGCAGATAAGCAAAAGAAATAAAACATATCCAGCTTCTAGCTAAATGAGTGCATTGCTTAGTTACTATAGTCTTCACGCGTTTTTCAGTTCATTTAACCGCAAACACTTTTTGCAATGAGCTTAAACCGGGTGGGTTATTAGTAGCTACCACTACAGTTTCAGTCGCAATAACATATTTCAATTCATTACAGAGAATAAAACGTCAGCGAGATAACCTTTCTTAAACATAACTATCTCATTATCAGCGAGAATAAATTGTCAATCCCATGGTACGACAACTCATTTGAGCCATCCCTTTTCAACTAAACCAAACGAAGCAAAGTCATGTTAATCAGAAGTGCAAGCATGAACCCCAAAAATGCTTCCTACCAGACCTATTATGCTAGTCAATCAGGATTTGCATTCCCTGTAACTACACCTAAAAGCGACACCAAATCTGACGTCTTGTAAAATGACGCACATACAATATATTCCAACTTATACATTGTTAGATTAAATGGACACGTAAGAGGTGTGCGAGATAGACGTGCTTTATTGCACGATTAAACACACATATTGCTGCCAATTGTCTGCTATGCGGAAGGCATGTATTTTGATCAAGCCACGAAAACGCGCTTTCTACGAAACACGGATGTTTGAAGGACACAAAAATGACAAAATTCACATTACCGGGATATGTTCATGAATATGCATACATTCATCAAGTGCATATTACCTCAGAAATCCAATTTGTTTTCTTTGAAAATAAGGAATTTTTCTGGATAAAATACATACTATTTAATTGAGTCAGATAAACATGAAAACAAACCTGAGTTGAAAAAAAGACACCAAAAGAGAAAATCTTATCTTGTGTCTTTACATTGATTCGAACAGATCCCCACATTGAATCCAAATGCACACATCTAACACACACACCAGAATTTCTCAAAAATGAGCGTAATCGATGTCCTACACGATTGAAAAGGTAAAACAAAACATCTATCACTCTTGAATGTTCACGATCGTTTAAACATAGCACAGCATTTTATTTAAGTGCTTATTACTGTTTAAGAGAACAAACACATCTACTGTGTTTTATCTAGTAGCTACCATATTTAAATAAACGAAGTGCAGTCCTGTGTTTTATTAACCATTAAATGCTGATCCACGTTACTTGTTCCGTTAAACATTTTTACTTTTTTATCATCGTTTTTTTCTTTACAGCTGCAGTTCAAAAAAGCACATGCTTTATTTTGAGACAGCAATGAAACATCTTCGCAAACAAGCGTCATGTAAATTATTTTATTTTTAAGTGCTTTTATTTCATTTAGAGTTCCATATCACATCCATGACGGAGCTTCACACATTTACAAACCAGAAATCAAAAATAAATTTGTTTTAGAATATTGTTTTGGATATAACGACAAAGGTGCTATAAATAATTCGTCTTAATTTAAGGTACAATTTTATTCATTGGCATTCCCATCTAGTGAATACCCAATGAAGAAGCAAATTGAACTAACTAATCAATGCGTCTAGAATTCATATTTTCAAGAATATACTATATTTATGACAGGATTTATATTGAATTAATAGTCCATCTGGCTGCGAAACAATGGTACAAATTTTTGACAAATATAATCAAAATACTTGAAGCCTAGTTGGAACGTAATTGCAAATTTATATTCTACTACTCTTGCAACCGTCTGATGCGCCTTGTAAATTTATTAAGGAAACAAGTTAGAAATCGTGCACACATTAATCTCTTGCAAATTGCCAATATTTTCGATAGGAATTATTGGGCATTTTTATTTAGAATTCTCATGAAAGAGCTGCCATTACGAAAATCTGGCCTGCTTTGCAAATTTGTGTGTCTTAGTTATGGATTTGATATGTAAAAATTAATAAATATCATTATCGACAATTGTTTGCGAGGAGGTATCATTGTTTTCTACAAGCAAAGCGTGTGGAATATAATGAGCTGTAAACGTTAGAAGAAAACACGAAGTGGAAAAGAGTTGACATGATTAAAGGAGCGGGAAAAGCAGATCAGAATATTGGTAAACGCATTGGATGTTCAACAAAATCCTGGAATTAACTAAGTTCTCCTAAATTCAGAAGCAACCAAATAAAAAAGGTTCAAAAGGTTTGCTCACGATAAGCAGAAATGAATTAACGCACTAATGTACAGATTGACAGTAAAATCGACAGATCATCATAAAGTGTGAGGCATGTATTGTCTTACATTTTCAAATCTAAGGGACAGAGATTGCATTCAATTATAAGGAATATAAAGGAACGAGAACGACGCGTCTATTTGGATTTGAGGACGAAATATGTACAAATCAAAGTAAAAGCGAAGGAAGCAACAGCGGAAGCGTCAGTTCTAGTTACGTTAGTGGAAACACAAGTAGTCAGGTGAGACGGAGTGATGATCGGCAAGAAGGCGCATAGACGGAGTGAGCAGCAGCACAAAGGGAAGAGGCTGCAGCAGCAGTAGCAGCAGCAGCAGCAGCAGCAGCATCAGCAGCAGCAGAAGCGGCGTCGGCAGGGGCAGCGGCAGCGGCAGCAGAAGAAGACGAAGCAGTACAAGAAGTAGACGAAGACGAACAAGAAGAGGAAGAAGGATCAGGAGGAGGAGGAGGAGAAGAGGCCTAAGAAGCAGAAGGGGAAGGTGACGAAGGAGATGAAGTGGGGGCGGTGTTGAAGCCAAGGGTAAGCAGGATGCTGTAATGGGTGTGATGCGCAAAATGCATCCGGAGAAGTGATAGACTCATTCGTCTCGTTGTTCTTCGAGGAGCTAAATAATGTTGCTTTGGTGCTGATATATTTAATTTCCTGCTGGTTTCCTGATTCTCTGCCTCTCCTATGTCGTATCAGGTTCTTCGATTTTGTCCTTTACCCTCTCTGTGAACACATCCTCGTTTCATTGATTCATGGCGCCTTTGTTAAATAGCATAACTCGCCTTATTCGGACACTCTGTCTCCGAACCATATATGTTTGCTAGCGAGATCTTGTTAGAAGATCATATCGCTTTCCTGAAACCAAAATCTATCATTCAAATCAGTCGTTTCTTAGGCAGATCTACTTTGCCCGTTTGACTACCTTCCAGCACCGACCAGTCCCACCAGCCTACGACTCAACTCTTTATGCGTGTTACCGACTACATACACATAGACATGAGCTTGATAGTTATAAAGACATATCACTTATCGAAACTTATCTGCCATAAGGCCGGTCACTTGCAAGCTTCGCTTTCACCTGTCGTAAGTCCGTTCTTGAATCCAGCTCTCACTTTTATCTCCTATACCATCCCTACCAGTAGCTTACAAATTTTAAACCTGAAAGCTCTGTTTTGACTACAGACTTCTGATTAATGTCACCTTTCCTGCCTCTTACCCCGTCCTTCATATCCACGATTTTATCACGTGCAAAGACGAAGTATGTCACACGACGGTGGCCTTTGAGTAGAACTTGTCTCGAACAACCATCTTAGTTACAACGCTACACAAGACGAAAACGGAAGACGATGGCTGAGACACAACTACCTACTTGATAGCTCAAACTAGTTGTCAGTGTAGCAGCGCTGCCGTGCATACCCAAATCGTGTCTGACTAATGCGTGTTGCTGTTGTTCGCTACAATCTGGGTGAATAACGGGGACAGTACTTGCACGGAGAGTGAGCAGACGGTTCCACATGACCGATGGACTCGCTGAGAGAGTGGGGTGGGGGTGGAAGCGGGGTGCCGAAGCATGCGACGAACCTGTCAATAGACGTCAATCGAAACGATTTACTGCAGTCTTGTCAAGGTTTGAGCTTGTCTGGGCCTATTATCAGCTTTCTGTTGTCACTAAAGTCGTTCTTAATGTAACCGTCACCAGCCGACTGGGGCTAGACCAGTTCCTGCCAGTGAATTACGCTCTACCTAACCCACCACAGGCCTTCAGCGAATTTTGTGCCAAGGTCTGCGTATTCAATGGCGTGATTAGCCTGAGTGCTCATCCTGGACTGACACTACGTGCTTGCACATCTATGACTCACACAGTTCCACATCTCAGCCATCAATTAACACACACACGCAAACGGCACAGGTATGGTTAGAAGGTGCCTTTTCAAGATTTGGGCTTGAGGCGAAAATCACTCCTAACTTCAACGGTGCTCTTGATAAATCTGGAACAGCTAATGCAGACCTCGCGCATGTGTCATCTTGGCATACGCTGCTATTCCTAAACCAACTAGGCGGTACATTTGAACATGATGGTACGTAATAAATCCAGAGTGTGGAGCCCTTGCGTAATGTCAACGTTACTGGCTGACGCCCAATTCCTCGCATCCACGCCATTTTTTCGGTTTAGAAAGTGATGTAGTTGTTTCTTTAATGGTTGATCCTGTTCAACATAATCATCACATATCTGTGACTGAATGCAGACACCACCTGGTAGGTAGGAGCGCGCACGGCTTTCTTTCAGGTAACATAACGCAGAGCAAGCACCGCGTTCTGCGTGGTCTTCTTTAGGCTCTTATTTATGATGTTCTCATCGTCAACTGCAACCACAAAAGGCCCTTGGTTTGCCTTCAGCAAGTGTGACCCGTCTTTGCGATTATCGCATCACAATGTACCCTCGAAAACGATCTCCAATGTGGACACAGTTGGAATTGACGCAGATAGTGGGCGTCCCTGACTGAGAAGCCACAAGCGATGCGGCAGTATCCAATGACACAATCAACTCACAGCTTACGTCGTTTTCTTTGTTTGGTCAGCTACTCAGTACGGTACATTGCAAATGCCACCAACATTTTGTCTCCTCTTATCGACTTGCTTCAAAGTAATTCCATGAAGCAAACGCCTTCTTAGGAGTCTACAACTGCTTTTCAAGCCATTAAGCATGCACAAGCAGAAGTCGCGTCGGACAGTAAGATGGAAACAAAGCTTTTTCCATGAACAGATGCTTCTCATACTCCTTCTGCCTCAATCCTACATAGCCACTCCCAGGCATTACGATTCTTCTCTTGAGAGATTAAACAAACTCAGACCCGTTACAGCACACGACGTTCCCAATGCGCTTTCTCCAGCACACATCCATCACATTTTGCTTCCTAGTTTTGATCTTGAAAGGGTAGCTGCACCGCGTACCAATGACGCACAATTCCGCCAGATATACCAAAACTGTGGTCTCTATCTGAAAGAACCGCCACTTACCCACTGCTCCACAAAAATCACGTGCGATACGCCAATTGAACGATCTGCAACCCCACGTTCCCTCTCAATTTAGAAACCAGATTTTCGAGTATTTGCACTCGCCGCCTCTGGATCTCTTTAGGAAGTTCCCATTTCAATACAATTCGATTGTACCCTTATTCGCACTGTCTGCATCTAACAGGCATACGCACCTTCCTCTTTAAGGAGTTTCACTAAACTGTCAAAGTCGCCCAGCAACCCTGTCAGCACACTCACCATGTCATGAACGGTACCGCCACTACGGCACTCTGAACAATCTCTATGTCCAGACACATTGTCAATCACATGTCATGGATATTCACATTTGTGGATATGGTAAACTAAGCGAAAAACAATAACAACTGTCATTTGGCTAACTCGTCCTTACTGTTCCATCCACTCAAAAACGCACCCTACACACTCACGCATCTTCTGTATGCTGCCTAATCATTGCAGGGCTCTAACACATGTCCTGTCTCCAGCACCTAGCACTCCATGTGTGATTCCACTTCCACGACGACCAGCTAAATCTTAACGCCGTTTAATCAAGTTATTGCAGTTTTACCACTGACGACATATCACTACACCATGTAGGTACGCCTCAAAAATTGCCATCACCAGTAAAAGTAGCAAATTCAACCACACGACTGCCAAACAAAAGACCAAATCTTAGGAAATATTCCATGTTCGTTATTTATAATTGAATAGGCTATACGATTAACTCCGCTAAGCCAATGCCACTAATGAATAATAACTAATTACCCCCCCCCAACCACGGCAAACTTCGTGGATTGTATAAATTACGTAGACACCGCATCCACCCTACAAGTATCTAATTTAGGCTGACTTCCTCACAATCGCACACACACACACGCACATTTCATAGTCTTCACGGTGAGGTACGTCCTCTGTCACGATTACAGCCTTGCGAATGCGATTCTTACCCTTACTAACATCGTCACTAGCACCACTGAATTAACCGCAATAACAACCAATAAACACCAAAAAACCACAGTTGATTTGCAGAGCCAAGACTCGAATGACCAACACAGTGCTTTTGGCATATTTCAATGCCCAAGTTAACAAGCGCCATTAGTAACGCACACTTTATTCCCTTCCGTAAACAACGCCTTGATGGTACGACCAGGTGACACGACGACGAGGTGCCCACAATCGGGAATTCACGCACTACGCAAGATGTCCACTTGGATTATGTCCTTCAGTCTCCAACAGTC